AGTTTGTGAGTTCAATCCCTGGTACCAAAAAAAAGAAAAAGAAACAAATTGCCTATAAAGGAAAGCCCATCAGAGTCAAGGCACACTTTTCAGCACAAACCCTCAAGTCAAGAAGAGGTTGGAGTAAAGTATTTTAGGTCCTACCCAGATTGCTGTATCATGCAAAACTACCTTTCAAAATTAATGGAGAAATAAGATACTTTCATGGCAAAAAATAACCACAGAAATTCATGACCACCATACCAACCCTACAAAGAGTACTGAAAGATATTCTATATGGAGATTTTTTAATGACCACAATTCCAAGAACAACACCAGAAAGAAACCACCAGGCCAGGCAAGCAATTAGAGGGGGAAAACAGAGAACCAACAATAGGAAAATACCATGACAAATGTAAGCCAATACGTAACCAGTTACAACAATCAATGTAAGTGGACTCAGTTCACCAATCAGAAGAAACACACTGGCAGAATGGATTAAGATCCATCAATATACTGTACACAAGAAACATTTTTAACTCAGAAAGAAATTCATAGACTAAAAGTCAAAGGATAGGCAACAATCTTCCATGCAGCAGGAACCTAGAAAAAAGCATGTGTAACTACTGTTTGCAGACAATGTAAAATTCAAACCAAGAATGATTGAAAGAGATAAATAAGGTCACTACATACTTGTCAGGGGAAAACTTCAAGAGGAAGAGATACCAATAATAAATACGTATGCACCAAATATGGGAGCACCCAACTATATAAGACAATTATTAATAGACATTAATAGACATGAAAAATCAAATAAGCAATAACAATAGTAATGGAAGACCCCATTGTCACAAAGAGATAGATCAACTAGACAAAAAAATCAGAACTGAACCAAACCTGTGAACAAATGGACATAGCAGGTATTTTCAGAGTATTCCACCCAACATCATCAGAATACATATTCTTCTCAGCTGCAAATGGAATGATCTCTAAAATAGACTGTATACTAATCCCTAGAACATGCTTAAGTAAATGCAAAGGAATTGAAATTATCCCATGAAAATTATCTGAGTATACTGTGATGAAATTGGAAATTAAAACAAACCACTAAAACTCCATAAACAAGGAAATTAACACCCTCCTAAATAACCAATAGGTCACAGATGAAATTAGGGAAAAAAATTAAACAGTATTTACAACTAAACAAGAATGCAGATACAACACACAAGAATTTATATGATGCAATGAAAGCAGTCCTAAGAAAAAAAATTGTCGCAGTAAATTCTCAAATCAGGAAAACAGAACAAACACACGTAAACAACCTAATGTTTCACCTCAGCCTTCTAGAAAAAGAAGAGCAAGACAAACCTAAATCTCATACAAGGGAGAAATTATAATGAGTAGAGCAGAAATTAATGCAATGGAGAATAAAAAAATAATACAAAGAGTGAATAAATCAAAGAGTTGGTTCTTTGAAAGAATAAATAAGATTGATAAATCCTTAGCCAACTTTATCAAAACCAGAAAAGACTCAAATTCATGCCTTGAGGAATGAAAAGTATGAAATCACTACTGATCATGTGGCTATTCAAAGATCATCAATACCTATTTTGAAAATCTTTACTCTCATAAGATAGGAAAAAAAACATAAGAAATGGACAGATTCCTAGATACATATAAATAATCAAAGCTGACTCAAGAAGATATAGAAATTCTGAACCCAATATCAAGTTACTGAGATTGAAATATAATTAAAAACTTACCAATAAAGAAAAGCCCAAGTCCCGATATATTTACTGCTGAATTCTACAATAAATTTAGAGATTTAATGCCAGAACTCCTCAAACTCTTTAATGAAATTGAAAGGGATGCAATACTCTCTAACTCATTCTTGGAAGTAGGTATTATCTTGATACCAGAACCAAAGAAAGACCCAACGAAAAAAGAGAACTATAGACTGATCTCCTTAATGAACATAGATGCAAAACTCCTCAATAAGATACTAGCAAACAATGCAGAAAATCATCAAGGAGATTACACACCATTCCCAAGTGAAATTCATCCCAGGAATGCAAGGATAGTTCATTATACGCACATAAATAAATATACTACATCATATCAACAGAGCCAAAGGAAAAAATCACATGATCATCTCAATAGATGCAGAAAAAGCTTTTGACAAAAGTCCAACACTCATTCATGTTAAAAATCCTACAGAAAATCATAATAATCTTTACCTCAATCTGATGAAAAGCCATCTGTGACAAACTAATAGCCAGCATCATACTAAGTGGACATAAACTGAAAGCTTTCACTCTAAAATCAGGAATATAGCAAGGATCTCCACCATCACCACTCCTGTTATATATAGTTCTGGAAACAGCCAGAGCAATTAGACCAGAGGGAGAGATAAAAGGAATACGGATAAGAAAGCAAGAAGTTAAATTATCATTATTTATAGGGGCCATGATACTCTGCATGGAAGACTCCCAAAATTCTACCAAAAGACTTCTAGATCTAATCATCAAATTCAGTAATGCAGCTGGTTACAAAATCAGCACTCAAAACTCATTAGCATTCTTGTACACAAATAACAAACTCACTGAGAGAGAAAAATTAGGGAAATCCCATCCTTCACAGTAGCATCCAAAAAAATTAATTACTTAGGATTCAATCTAACTAAGGAAGTAAAAAATCTATATATTGAAAATAATAGTACTCTGAAAAAGATTGAAGAGGACTTCAGAAAATAGAAAGATATACCTTACTCATGGATAAGGAGAACCAACATTGTGAAAATGGCCATACTCTCAAAATTATTCCACAGATTTAATGCAGTCCTGATCAAAATGCCATTAGATGCCTCACAGAACTAGAGAAAACGTTCCTAAAATTCATAGACTAGAAACCTAGAATAGCAAAAGCAAGGCAGGAAGCATCACAATCCCTGACTTGAAATTATATGCAAAGCTACTGTGATGCAGTTAGCATGGTACTGATTTAAAAAACAGATTAGAAGATGCAGACACAGGGCCAGGAGTTTAGCTCAGTGATGTAAGTGCCTGCTTGGCAAATGCCAGGTCATGAGTTCGATCCCCAGAACCAAAAAAAAAGATGTAGACACAACTAAAAAGACATTTAGCCACCTTATCTTTGACCTAGGAACCAAATACGTTCAGTGGAAGAAAGATAGCCTCTTTAATAAATAGTGCTGGAAAAACTGGTTCTACATGCCAAAGACTAAAACTAGAGTGTCTGTCTCCATATACAAAACTAAGTCAAAATGAGTCCAACGTCTAAATATTAAAACAGAAACTCTTAACTCTACTGTGAGAGAAAGTATGTGGAAATCTTGAAGACATAGCTGTACGCAGAGACTTCATGAACAAAACCCAAACTGCATGGTAAATACTTTAAAGAACAATTGGAATCTCATCTTATTAAAAAAAAAACCTTTTGCACATCAAAAGAAATCACAAGGTGAACAGACAGAGTGGGAAAAAATGTTAGCCAATTGTCCTTGAGACAAACAACTTCTCTAGAAATACAGAGAACTGAAAAAATCAACCCCTCCCCCAAATTTAAAGACCCACTCCAAAAATGGGCATTTGAGGCAAACACATGCTTCTTGGATGAACTAGTACAGTTAGCAAATAAATATATGAAGCAATGTTCAGCATCATCATCAGTCATTCAAGACATGCAAATTAAAACAACACTGAGATTCTGTCTCACCTCAGAAAGAACAGCTATCATCAAAAAATCAACCAGGAGCAAATGCTGGTGGGGCTGTGGAGGAAAAGGAATACTTCTCCATTGTTGGCGAGAGAGTAGATTGGTGTAACTGCTGTGGAAATCACTGTGGAGATTCCTTAAAAACTAGAATGAGAGGTCGCATTTGACACAATGGTTCCCCTTCTGAGTATTTTCTCAGAATTAAAAACATCATACCACAGTGACATATGAGCACTCATGTTTATAGGAGTTCAATTTGTAATAGCTAAATCCTGGGAACAATCCAAATGCCTGTCAACCAAGGAAGGAATAAAAAGGATGTGGTCTTTTTCTATAATGGAGTACTACTCAGCTATAAAAAGGGATAAACTTGAGACTTTTATAGGTAAATGGATCCAACTGACGACCATACTTATAGATGAAATAAATCAGACTTGCATGTGTAAACATAATATTGTTTCCTTAGTGTAAGAAGTTGAAAGAGTACAAAAATTCAAAATCTACAGTAGATATTGTAAAATGAGAAGTAACTATTCAAAAGGAAAGAGAGGCTGGGTTTGGGGAAAGGATAAGAAAGGAAAAAATATGTATGTATATACACACATAAAAAAGTTAAAATAGTTATACTACTAATTTCTCTTAGTTCATTGAAAAGAAAGGATTGTGCCTATGTTGTTTGATCAAGTTTTTTGTTCCTGTATCTAGTAATATAAGCAACTACTTTGAAGGTAACAGTATACAACCTATGAGCCATTGTTACACTCCTACTATCTTATCTTGAAGTATTGTATCATTTTTTTTATTTTTTTCTCTTTAAAGTTAAAAAGAATTATGAATGGTTTCACAATTACAAATTTAAAACCAGAGGTTACATCTCAGTAGTTTAAGGTTTTCTGATAATGTGAGTGAAGCCTATACACAGTTTAACACAGTAGTAAAAACCTTTGCTCAGGAAATGAATCAAAACACCAGGACTCTGATTCCAACTTTGAATCTGTGTGACTTTGAGGAGGGACTCATACTTTGTGTGAATCTTACCTCTCTGTAAGTAAAACAAAATTATTTCAAAGGTAACTGCCTGCTCTTCAAATCCTCCCCTTAGTCTTCTTTTGTTCCCTTCAGTTCGGTTCACGAATTTTCCACTGCTATTGAGTGGGAATTTTCCTTTGATCTGGTAATCTTGGTTTAATGTACTCTTCACAGATTTAAGAATGAGTTTCTACTGTCCTTCTATTTGACTTCTCTGAGTGATATCCTGTTAATTCCAAATGTTCTTGTGTGTGTAGGAAAAGATTCTCTTGTGGCTTCTTCAGTTCATGCAAGAACAAGGCATCTCCCTGGATGAGGTGGACTACGAGGGCAACAGTGCTGTCCACGTGGCCTCGCAGCACGGCTACCTTGGGTGCATACAGGTACATGGCGCTGCTGCTCTGCGGGAGAGAGGACTGTGAGCCTAGTAAAACAAGCACTGCGTTTTCAGGAAAATGCTTTGCATTAGAGTAGACATGCAAAATTATAATGATACATTTGCATTTTTAAAAATCCACATAAATGTAGCGATAAGTAGCCCTCAGAGTTTTCCCTTCATTGTCAGAGGAATGGAGAGGGATTTTGCCTGCTCTCCCAGCATAATCCTGAAACCCCAGTGCTGAGGACAGTAGTTGTAAAGTGTGCTTGGTCCTCAGGATGGCAGGGAAGCGCTCTAGACTGACGTCTCTCAGTCTCCAGTGATAGACTAGGGTTGCCCTCATCAGTACATCTTTACCTGCCCCTTGCCCAGGTGCAAGAAAAACCAGACAGAGTTTCTAGGAATAAGATCAGAAAGATTCTTCACAGTAGGCTGCTGTTTCCCATTTTGTCTCTTGTAGATCCAGGCTTCTCACATGCCTCTGGTAAAGCCCAGCGTTATTTGGGGGAAGACGGTAGATACTGTTGCCATCAGGCCTTGACAAATGAGACAGGTCCTGCTTGGCCAGCCATTCCTCCTGCTACCCACAAGCAGCCCAGGCCCTTAGCCGAGCTGCATTCTCATGTTCTGAGTGTGCGGTCCCTTTCCAAGATCCTGGGCTTTCTACAGGAAGTCATCTGTCACCCAGATGCAGAGCTGTACAAGTCTGAGCTAAGCCTAGTGCCCCCATCAGAACATGTGATGGGAGAGCCCGGCAGTGGTCCCCAGAAATTTAGGAGTAGTGAACAGGAAAGCATTATTCACCCCTTCACCTACAAATGTTGAGAATCCTCAGAGAGAGGAATGGTCCAAAGGACGAGGAGTGTCAGGTGGGAGAGACCAAACAACAACCGAAGAATAGAAAATGAAGTCAGAGTTTAGGTTTCACTTAAAATTTTATTGTTGATACTAAAATATAGTTAACAGAATCAGGCCAATCCAAAAAAAGAATCAGGCCAGTCAAAGCATTCTTACTGAAAATGCCCTGACATTTTTGGATTTATTCCCATAGGTCAGGGAAAAGAAAATTCACAGCAGATGCTTGAAGGCTGACGCTCTAGAAATGCTTCTACCTCAATGATGTCATACGTTCCACATGTTTTGTGTGTTAACACATTTTCCACCCCTGCAAAGCGACCCTCCTTTTGGATTGTGTGTGTGTTGCTTCCTTTGTTGCCGACCCAGTGTGCTTATTCATTCAGCAGGTACTGAGGTGCAGTTGTGTGCAAGGCAGACTCTACTCAAGTCAGAAAACTAGTTGCTATGCGAGATACAGAGAATCAGGAAATAGGAGAATATATAAAGGACAAGATGTAAGTGGAAAGGGCAGCATAGAAAGCAGCAGAAAGTTCTGTTCACATGAAGTTATTCCTTAAGGCTTATGTCCTCAGAAAGTACTCAGAGTACGTACATCGGAATGTTTTCCCATTATCACTGGCAAAGCAGACATCTTCTAATGTAAGGCTCCAACTTTTAAAAGCAATGATAAGAAATTAATATAGAAAATAAATTTAAATTCTTAGGATTTGCAGAAAGATTAAAAGAGTAGCATTAGTTCTTGTGGAAGAACAATAATTAACATGGAAACTATAATTTTCCATTTATCAAACACCCCATTATTTAATATTCTTAATTTTTATCAGCTAATATATGACCAGAAACCAAAAAGACAGTTGATATCACTTAATTCTACTTAAGACTTTAATCACTTTATCTTCTAATATGTGAAGAGCAGCAGTCTCTCCTTCCAGAGCGTTTATCGCCCCACTTAGCATAAATGATATTTTTGGCACTAGGTGATGCTAGGGAAGGGTTTACTCACTGGATGTGAGGTTTAGAGAATAAAAATCAAAGGAGACTAAGAACGAGCAAGGGACCGCATGAGGTGAGGAGAAGAGGAGTAAGGAAAGCAGTGCAAAGAAAACCGGAGGACAGGGTTAAGGGGAGCGATGACAGTGTGTGTTTACACTGAGTCTGCAGGCTCAATGCTGCCAGAGTCCCCAGGAAGCCTGTGAGGGAGGGGGCCACATTTCATGGTAAACGGCCCTTTAGTGGTGAGTGATCACACACCAAAAAGAAAGTGAGCTCCTTAATGACCTCTGAGTTAGTCTAAGCAGTCTTAAGAATTTAAATACAAGTATTGTTTGTGGAAAAAAATCATTACTACCAAAATAAACCTCAAGGTACGCAGTCTCCTCATGATATCATCAAAGAACACATTACATTGTGGCGGCTGCGCAGTAGTGATGTAAACAGCAATTATTGATTTCAGCTATCCTTCATCAAATTTCCCTCTCCTATACTTACGGCCCGATTCTATGACTTCCTCCATGCCTTTGATTATTAAAGTGTACTCCAAAGCAATTTAAAATTTCAATCTTTCTTCTGGTCCCAAGCATTCTTCCCACCCCACCCCATCCCTGCCTGCACCCACCCCGCAGGGTGGGGATGTGGACTCCTGAGTAAGGCATGATCCGCCGTCACCACACTGGTTCCTGCTCCCCTCTCCTTTCTGCACTTCAATGGTAGAGCCAAAGACAGCATACCAAGCGTTGAAGTCAGATGTCTCTTTGCCTAATGGGAAGTTCTGTGGCTTCCTTGGAAGATGCCACTGTTTCCTCGTGACTGCGGTGACTGTCACGCTCTGTGGCATCCTTCAAGCACAGACCGTGGTGGGTGCTGTGGACAGGCCCAGGTGAGCTCTGGGGCCTCCTGCTTCAGGCCTCACCTGGCACCTTCTCCTACCCCAGAGTTCCCATAACTCGGTGCACTCTGTTTCCAGTTGCTGTTGGAGACCTTTCTCCTTTTGCAGGAACAGGGACACGTTGTTCACACCAACTGCACTTCTACAGCATCTGCTCAGTCTACAAACAGAGCCTTACCGTGGCACGTGTGGGCATTTTGGTTACTTCATGGCCACCCCACTCTCTGCCTTGCCCTTTTTCTTCTATGTTAGTCCTGATTAAGTAGACTCAGCAGGAAATTAGCAAGTATTATTCCAAAACCACTTACCAGGACCCTCAGACAAGTAGGTCCCAGGTAAATGCAGCCCCCTCTCCCCATCATGTAGGCATCCGTGACATTGAATTGACCATTTGGGGCCATCAGAAGGGACAAAACACCTCACCACAAACACTGAGCTGCACATACCAGAAAAGAAAGGACTAGGGGGAGGACATCTGACCCATCCCCTTGCACCTCCCTGTGTGGGCTCCAGGCCAGGACAGCTAAGAGTCAGCGGGGCTCAACTTCACCTTTGTAGGTCCTGAAGGGGGGCATCTGACATCACCGGTGACCCACTTCCCAACCCTGAGAGCTCTGATGATTGCCTCCACCATTCTGTTACATTTCATTAAAACCACAGTGTTTAGGCCGAGAACCTGATGCAGTCTTGTATCTCTGTACTTTCCTGGCAGACCTTGGTGGAGTACGGTGCAAATGTCACCATGCAGAACCATGCTGGGGAGAAGCCTTCGCAGAGTGCAGAGCGACACGGGCACACCCTGTGTTCTCGGTACCTCGTGGTGGTGGAGACCTGCATGTCGCTGGCCTCGCAGGTGGTGAAGCTGACCAAGCAGCTGAAGGAGTAAGTGGCCTGTTGATTCTGTGCAGACAAAGTCCAGCTGTCATGGCTGTGCTGAGATTTCAGCTCCAGGACTGAGGTGGCTCCCTTCTTTCCAGACATCAAGGGAGTTCTAGCATTATCTTTTCCTCCGTCCTAGCACTCACGCCAGGGTTCTGCTGAACTTGCCATCTCTGAGACAGAGGCAAAATGATGCTGCATTTAAACCAGGTGGGGCCAGCTCCCTGGGCGGGGAATGTAAGCCTCATTGGATCAGGAGGGAGTCTGTGTGTTCAGGTCTCAGGCCGGGTTATAGAGCAGAGCACGGAAACACATTTAGGTGTTATCTCTTGTTTTCTGTCCTTAGTGTTCCAGGAATCATAAAGTGTAAGAGTGAACAATAGACTATAAATGGACCAGTTTCTCACTTTTCCTAAAAAATAAACTGTATATTTAGGAAATTATAAGCCAGGAATTATATTCAGTGCCTGGCATGGTGGCACATGTCTGTAATCCCAATATTCAGGAGGTTGAGACAGGAGGATCATTGTGAGTTGGGAGCCAGCCTGGGCTACATAGTGAGACCCTGCCTCAAAAAAACAAACAACAAAAAAAAAAGACTTCATAATCACCAGTAAATTTATTATAAAAGTTAAGCAGGTGCTTCATGACTACTCAGAATACAAAACAGTATTCACTCTAATTGGAGTCAGTTACTTCCTTGATATGGCTAAGTGGATACACATTCTATATTTGGGTGTCAGGGAAGCATTTCTTGAGGCTGGCCAACACACCTTAGAAGAAAAGAGGACTGTGAGAGTCCATCAGGTGGGTTTCTAGCAAGTTGACAGATGAAAGGGCTAACCCTTTCCTGAGGGGACTAAAGCCAGCTCTTGAAAAGTACTAGATCAAGTTACAATTGCCATACTGGTGATGCTTTCTGAAAACTGAATTAGCACTCACAGTCATGTAATTCAAAGTGATATTGAGCAATTAGGAGTAGAAACCCCCAAAGTTAAACTTTAGAGAGGAAATATAAAGCCTTAACCAGATGTATATATTCATATGAATATATGTGTGTATGTGTACTATATATTGCAGATTTATGAATATTTTATATAGTATAGAATATATGCATGTACCCACATATATAAACAGTAATATATATTATATATAATATATTACTCCTAAGTACAGCTCATTTGAAAAAAGGCCAAAGTTAAGAGGCCTTGTCTTGGTTACTTTTTCTCATTGCTGAGACAAAGCACTCAACACCCAATTTTAAGGAGGAAAGGTTTGTTTATCTCACAGTTTGTGGCAGTTTAAGTCCACCATTTTTCTGGCTACACAGTGAGTGGCCTGGTGGAGGAGTAACAGTTCATGGGGTGAAAGACAGCAAAAGTAACAAAAAACAAAAAGGGAGGGGCAGCACAGAGAAGACTCTTTCCCTATACAGGCCACATCCAGCCTAGGGTGAGTGTAACACTCACACCCACAATCCCAGCACTGTACCGCGAGCCAATCAGGAACTCTAGAAACCCACCTCCATGACTGCCTGAGGCTTTGGGGGGACATCTAGGCACAAATCCTAACAGGCCTTAATTGATTGGAAGTATAAATCATGCAAAAATGTGACAAAGTCTTGGGCCCTCTTTCCCTTTTTATACCTAGGGACGCCTCACTTACCTCTCTGCTTCCATTCTGTTGCCTTTAAGGTGTAAGTTTCTGTGTCCCTCCCCAGTCAATACCTAAAATAGTCTTCACAATGAGTTCAGATATTTCCTAGTAAAGCTGGGCATGGTAGTGCACACTGGTAATCCCAGCACTCAGGAGTTTGAGGCAGGAAGATCACTGTGAGTTTGAGTGTAGCTTGGGCTACATAGTTCAAGCCAGCCTGAACTGCATAGTGAGACCCTGTCTCCAAAAAAGGATATTTCCTAGTAAATAAAATAAAAGTTTAAAACTTAGAAAAATGTTTACCTCTGAGTATGCTCTGCTCAGCTGAACAAAAGTTCTTCAAGATAGGTGAGCTGGTTGCACCTAAAGGTCTCAATGTAGCTGAATGAAAAATATACAGAGATTAATGACTTGATAACGTAGGTTTCTATAGGAAACATGATTCTGCTCCTGTCTTCATGTCCCTATTTTGGTGTTCCTGAAGATAAATTGCCAAGTGAAAGAACTGCTAGAACACAAGGCACACACATTTAAAATATAGGCAGATAGTACCTAATTTCCCAAAAAGCTGTACCAAAGTCTACTCCCTCTAATAGTGCGTGAACATATCCATATGAAACTGTGAAACATCCAATTGAATGTTTTTGCTAAGATGCATACTCAGAAAAGGTCAGAAAACATGCTCCTGAGTCTCTGATGGTGGACTGGAAAACTTTTCATGAGTTTTTCAATATCCATTTAGTTGGTGAATTATTCACAACTATGTCTTGGCACTTTGTTGATCCTGGGATAAAGTATAAATATACACTAAAACAAAACAGTTCTTCAGGTACCCCCAAAACTAAATACCATGCACAGTTGTAGTGAATCTCACTGAAGTTGGCAAAACTGGAAACGGATAGAGAAATCTATTCGGTGTAGGACACAGTGCCCTCTGGCATATGAGACACCAATGACATAGAAAAGTGCAGGCTTAGAAATTTTTTCCAAGGATATAACACTTAGTCTACAAAGTTAGTAGCTTTAAAAATAGCACAAATTTACTTTTTACTTCTGCAGGTCAGAAGGTTAGTGTGGGTCTTTCCAGGCTAAAATGAAGGCGTTGGCAGGCTGCAATCAGTTCCTTGTAGGTGCAGGATGTGAGGTCTCACATTTCAAGTCGCTGCCACTGAGGGTCAGTCCCAGCTGCATTCGGGGACTCACAGTTCCACTCTTCTATCGCGGACCCCAAAAGTGTCTGGACTGAGTCCTTCCCGCAGTTGCAGTCTTTCTCACCTACTCTTCTGCCTCTTCTTCGACTGCTCCAAACGTGTATGATTAGATTGGAGCCATCCCAGAGGTCCCGGAGAACTTTCATATTGTGATAGCAGTTGGTATACAGTATTCCTTCTCTTTTGTCTTGTGAGGCAGCATAGTCACATCTGGGAATTAGGACACAGATGGAAACTTTTGGGGGTACCTCTCTAGTATGCCAGGGGTCTGTAAATACCACTTATTCCTGCACAGTAATCTCCCTAGTGGTTAATAACTGTTTTCTAAGTGGGTTGTACTTCTTATAACCTATGACTTGTGGACTATTTTCTTTACTTGTAAAAAATATTCAGCACAGCACCTGCCTGGCAAGTATGAGGTCCCAAGTTCAATTTCCAATAGCAAAAAACAAAAAGAATATTCGAAAACACATGCTCTGATGTCCAGAGGAAATGGAGAAGTAGTGTTGCTACACATCATTTTTCCCTGGTACATGAAAACACTTAGTTATATAATTGCTACCCAAACTGGAAATAGTTTTCTTGTTTTGGTCAATTATTTTTTCTGATCATTACATGGATAAAATTGTAAATTAAAAAATTTGGAGAGAGTAAGTATCATTTTGAGTATAGCCTTCTAAATTTTGTTGTATTGGTAGCTTCCTTAAAAACAAGATTACATATAGTGTTTGTAATATTCTATTTTAAGGCAAGTAAAAACATAATATATTCACACATATATATCTTTCATATATTAGACAAACCTTTTGTATATAAGTATTCTAGTATAGTATCATTTATCATTTCTAACAGCTGCCATAATAGAAATAATTATAAATTATTTCTCAATCTTATTCATGAGCATTTTTTTCTGTCTTTTTGAGACAGGTCTCACTGCAGTTCAGGCTGGCCTGGGGCTCACTTTGTATCCCAGGCTGGTCTCGAACTTGCAACATTTCCCTTGCCTCAGCCTCCCAAGGGCTGGGATTACAGGTGTGTGCCACCATACCCGGCTTTCATGAGCATTTAGATGGCTCTAGTTTTTCATTAATATGAACAGCAAGCATCTTTTTGGCACTTTTGACTCCTAGGAAAATTTCTAAACTTCGAAAAATTTTTAAAACCTTTAATTCATTGCAGTTGACACAGCTTATCACAAGAAACAACTTTTACCTCCTAGCGTATAGCAGCAGCCTTGTATCAGAGCATGTGTTGGTTGTTTTCCTGCAGACAGACTATGGAGCGTGTGACACTACAGAACCAACTCCAGCAACTCCTGGAAGCCCAGAAATCCGAGGACAAGTCCCTTCCTTCTTTGCCCAGGTAATGCGAGACTCCCATAGGAGTTCTTCAGTATCTTAAATCCCTCAGCCGTCTTCTGGATTTCCTTTTGATGTATCTGAAGAAAATAATAGTCAGACACAGCTGCACACCTGTGTACTCCCACCTCTCTGGGCACTGAGGCAAGGGGGTCACAAGATGACTTCAGCATCCACAATGTCGCAATTTAAGGAGACTTTCTTTCAAAAAGGCAGGTGAGGGATGTAGCTCAGTGAAAAAACCCTGAGTTCAACCCCCGCTCTAAAAATTTTAAAGACCTTTGATTAGGTTTTATTCTATTCTGTTTTGTTTGATTCTGTTATATCTGTTGGTATGGACATCTATTTTGAAGAAAACAAGACATTATGGTAGCCATTGTTGATCTACTGTTATCTTGTTTTGAAGTTCTGTATCGCTTTCATTATTCTGTTCTGATTAGCTTTATTCTGATTGGTTTGATTTGGTTTTATTCTCTTTAAAATAAGGAAAATTTGGGCCGGAGATTTAGCTCAGTGGCATAAGCACCTGCCTGGCAAGCATGAGGTTGAGAGTTAGATCCCCGGTACCAAAAATAAACAAATAAAATAAAATAATTAAAAAATTAAAATAAGGTATTACAGTGAAAAACTGTGGGTCAACAACCTGGATTATTCCCATGCTCTACTATTTCTTTGTTCCATGGCTATAAACAAATCATTTTCACTTCCTGATTTATGAAATAAGAATAAGTATATATAGCTCAACATGGTTGTTGAGAATGGAATTATGAGAACATTCATGTGAAATTGATGTGTAAACAGTAAGTCAAGCAAGTTTAGTAGTCATAGGCGTGCTGTAGTTTGGCTATGGTTGCTTCTGTGGAGTATTTGTAAATTGCTATGAAAAGTGATTAAGTGATTATACTTAATTCCATTCTCACTATTTGTAAATCAGTTAGTTTGCTTATGACAGGGCCTTGCTAGGTCCTTCAGGCTGGCCTTGAACTTGCTTTGCAGCCCATACTGGCCTGAACTTACAGCACACTTTCTGCCTCAGCCTCACAGGTGCTAGGATACAGGGGTGTACCACCATATCCAGCTGTGAATTATTAGTACTAGAAAAAGTCTCTTGTGTCTTGTTCATTCTGACCAAGTAAGAAAATCATCTCATCCCCTTCATACTTTTTCAGTTCACCTGCTTCCAGAAAGTCCCACTGGAAAGTTCCAGATGCAAGTGATGAGTCTGTAGCCAAAAGCAAACCAGGAGTTCAAGAAGGGATTCAAGTTCTTGGAAGCCTGTCAGCATCTAGCCGGGTCAGAGCCAAAGCAAAAGATGAAGATTCTGATAAAATTCTACGCCAGTTATTGGGAAAGGAAATCTCAGAGAATGTCTGCACCCAGGAAAAGCTGACTTTGGAATTTCAAGATGCTCAGGCTTGTTCTAGAAATCCTAAAAAGATCCCTCTGGAGAAGAGGGAGCTGAAGTTAGCCAGGCTGAGGCAGCTGATGCAGAGGTCACTGAGTGAGTCTGACACAGACTCCAACAACTCTGAGGACCCCAAGAATACCCCTGTGAGAAAGGCTGACAGGCCCCGGCCACAGCCCATTGTGGAGAGTGTGGAAAACATGGACAGCACAGAAAGCTTACACCTGATGATCAAGAAACACTCTTTGGCATCAGGACGCAGGTTTCCTTTCAGCACCAAGGCCTCGAAATCCCTGGATGGCCACAGCCCATCTCCCACCTCAGAGAACAGTGAACCAGACCTGGAATCCCAGTGCCTGGGCCTGGGGAGCATTCCTCCGAGCCAGCCTTCTGGAGACCCCACACAGTCCAACCCTGACAGCGCTGCTGCCCAGAAAGTTGCCACAAGTCCCAAGAGTGCCCTCAAGTCCCCATCTTCCAAGCGTCGGACATCTCAGAACTTGAAACTCAGAGTTACCTTTGAGGAGCCCGTGGTACAGATGGAGCCGAGCAGTGTCCTTGAACTAGATGGAGACAAAGACAAAGACAGAGACAAAGGTAGGACCCTCCCACGGAACTCCACAAGTAGTGAATCTGGGGAGCAACTGAAAAGGCCTTTCGGAACCTTCCGGTCCATCATGGAGTCCCTGAGTGGCAATCAGAACAATAATAATAACTGTCCAGCAGCCAGCCAGCTGAAGACATCCACGCTGCCCTTAACCTCACTTGGAAGGAAGACAGCAGACAACAAGGGAAACCCTGTGAGCTCCGCTAGCAAAGGAAAGAGTAAGGCTGTGAGTGCTCTTTGGAGAATATCCTTTTTCTTCTTAGGTTGACAAGATTATACCTGACCCTACAGACTTTTGACACCTTGAGGGAATTCCCACAAAAATTCCCAAAGGGTACATTGAAAGCTTAATTTGCATGTTTCTAATGAAATGTATCATGTTAGGACACATACTGCCTTTTCTTCGGAGAATACTTTGAACCAGGTCAGGAAATCACTAAGGATTAAATTCTCTCTCTCTGCTTCCCTCAATGACCTGATCTTTGTACGCTAGGACTCTTGGGCTGGGAGGCATTTCTAGAAGATGAAGCCACCAGTTGGTGCCAAATCAGTCCGTCATCAGTACTGATTCTGCTTCAGAAAGCATTTGTCCTCTTCGTGTTACTGGATAGTTTATTCTCAGTTGAAAGGCACACAAATAGAAACTCCATTTCTAAAAACTTTTAACTCCTCAGTTTTGGAGTAACCATTGAATGAGGTATTCAGCAGGGCCTCCATGTGAGCACCATGTAACACAGACCCCCAAGTGTCGACTGGAGGCCATAGGAACCTGGGTGTTTGCCCGCACACAAAGGATGCAAATGTACCACCAGCTACATTTTATAGTCACATTAATTGGAAACCCATGCACTATCACTTGTGATTTCTATCTAACGAATAAGAATTGTAAACATCTCTTTAGGGGGTGTCTCTGCTTGACATGCCATCAAAAAACAGCACGGCAACCAAAATGCAAAACTCAGTGTGAAATGACCGCGGTCACCTACCATTCCAGGCAGTAGACCTCCCAGTGGAATGTTAGAATCTTCGTAATTTATTATCTACATTTACTATTATTTATTATGTTAAAATCCCAAGGACTGTCCTAATTCTTTATGGTATCAACTCAACTTTTATTAATTAGTATCCCCTTAATTGCTAGGACATTAATTTTAAAAGTATATACCAATTCTATGTGTAAATTACCCTAGTTATAAAGAACTGCAATATGCATTTGTTTCATCTAGAAAAGGTATGCTTGTGACCAACACACAAGAATTTTAAATTAAATATTTCAAAAACTTAAACTGTTTCAATAAAACTCTTCCAATAACTTAGTAAGTGATAGGAGTAAAAGAAATATTTGCAGTTTTCCATGTTCCTTAGAGTATATTCTCAGCTGCTGTCATCTAATCTGTCCCTAGCATGCTTCATATTTGTTGGAACTTGTGCATGTGCTGAGCTTGTTGCATGTTTTCAGATAATGTTTTAATTGCACCTCTCTAGGAGATGTACAGCAGCTGCCTCAGTCTTGCCTCTAACACGCTGATTGAAGAGCATCTGCATAACTGTGCACGGTACGTGGTACCCAGAGATGCGTTGTGCAGCATTGCCACGCCTTTGCTTAGAATTGCATGAGCTCTAAAATTATGGACCTGTGGCAAATGTGAGTGTGGGATGACAAGGAAGAAAAATTCTGTGAATCTTTGACCAATAGAAGTAGGCACAGAGGGTAACTAGGTAGTGGAAAGGTAGCTGCCACTCTTTGCAGGAACTTCATGGCAGCGTTGCTCAGAGAATCCATCCACTCGCAGACTGCTGTGTTTCTTAGTTGACTTTGGCATTCAGTCTTTGCTTTAATGGATTCAAGTACCAAGTAAGCATTAGAATTAAATTTCCTGTCATGGGTAGCAGGAGTCTGTCTCTGATCAGAATCAGAAATTTGAAACAGTGCTGGAGTTTTATTTCAGTGTTGATTATCTACTGAAAGCTCTTTTCGTCACCATTCTGCTGATCTCAGGAGGAGCAAGGGCCTTGCCCACAGAACTCCCTTAGCTTTGCGCTGTGAAGCACAATTGCAGTTCGGAAACCAGCATTGGGGCACTCACCAATAGAACAAGGGTCTCTCTAAGACAAATGTTTCCAGCTTCAAATACTGCATTCCTGAGAGAGAGAGGGCGCCCAGTTCCTGGGACGCCTCCTTGGACAAAGTCCTTCCACAGCCCAAGGATCGTCTTCCCGTTGGGAAGACATGTAGTTTCCCGACTGGACTGAAACCAGGAGGAGGAAAGAGAGCAGCCTGAGGGGAGGTCATGCAGCCAGTGTCCACTGCAAAGGCAACTGATGCTTTGAAATCATTTAAATAATTTGAAAATTATGACATGCCGTTTAGCACTCTTCCAAAATTCCCCCAAAGAATGTGAACGTGTATATTGTACTTACAAATCTTAGTTCAGGATACAAAGATGCAAGAAAATCACTACCCACCCTACCCCACCCCTGTGTCACATTTGATCCACTCTAGGTCAGTTCTCAAGTTGGAGGGAAATTAAATCCCTAATTAACTTTTCATTTTGCCTATGGGACCCAACCACGTGAAAGAAAGGAGCCCAAGTACTTATCCATCAGAAAGGCACGGGCTGTGTTAATGGAGTGCACTGGCCTTGGAGTGTCCTGCTCACCGAACGCTGGTGGTCTGCGTGCTGTGGTTCCCAGGGGCCCAGGCAGTTGCCTGAGCTGTATCCAGCTCTAGTGGGGCGGATTCCCAGGCTGGTGTAGCAGCCAGTGCCTGGGTGGAGGGAGCCGGAAGCAGTACCCTTCCCTGCCAGACACTGAAGCTGGCCCACTTCTGTTTTTCTCAGCTTAGATCCCCCACTTCTGTACCACTTTTCTGTACCCCTTTGGGACTCAGCAGGTCTTCTGTTACTTGGAAAATTTTACTTTTGTCCTTAAACAGAAGTCACTGGAAACACCCTGAAGCAAGGAAGCACAAAGGCTTGGCAAACTCCCTCGGAGTGGGAAGAATACTTCTCATTTCTTCCCAGCTTCTGTACCAATTGGAAACAAGACAATTATTATCGTAATAGACTCTCATGCCAGGAATACTTCAGCCTGTCTTTTCACATGCAAGGGCATAAAACTGAATAATTTACTATAATAGGATCACAAAAATCAGAACACAACATAATGTAAGAGGGCCACTAGTTTTGCACCTTCTCACTCAGCTTAAGGAACAGCCCTTCAAAAGTCTCAGTTCTAAACCTGCTGGTTTCACTGGTGTTTTGTATTAGTAGAGTCTGATTTTAGCAGTGCATTAGAAACCAGAAATAGCCAGGGATTATCGCTTAGCAGCACAGTGCCTGGCTGGCAAGCTTGAGGTCCTGAGTTTGATTCCTGGTACCAAAAAAAAAAAAAAAGAACCAGAAATAAAAATAATCATATCAAATAAATGTCCTGACCCCTTTTTCTCACTACTCTATGAATCAACCTATATTTAATCATAGTTTTAGTTTAGCAAGTATTTCCATAAAAAGTAGAAAATCTAGGTGTTTTTTTCACATTGGAGTGAAAAGGTTTCTCTGATTTTCTTATAGTGATAACAAAGGAAAGGAGAACTGGACTGGTATGTTCTTGAGGTAAATCAAGATTGAAAATAAGACTGAAAATAAAGATTCCTCGAAGAAATTAAGACTAGGGTGAAATGCCTAGCATGAAAATTACCTGACTTCACCAGCCTCATTTTACCTATGGGACCCAATTTCATGAAAGAAAGGAGCCCAAGTATATATATGGCTTCAAATCTTGGTCCAGAAATTTGCTTGAAGACTAGGTGGCCCCTCCCAGGTAGCAAAAGTGTCAGGTCAGTGGCCATCACTAAGTGGAAGTTGGCTCCAAAAGTCACTATTGCCGAGTGGCTTTGCCAGGACAGCCCTGGGAGGAAGAGTAAGATCACATGTCGTAGTTCCAAGGGTACCCTTTTCCTGGGGTAGCAAAAATAAATGCAACCTTTTAAAGAATGTCAGTCCTGTGGGAGGATGCTGTTGCTATTTATTTTTCTGAATTGGTCACAGCTTGATAGCAAGGAGTCTAAATCTCTTTTCAATGCCTTTTAAAATTAGATTCAATCTTATAAATAGTTTTCCCAGTGTACTTCAACTGCAAGGATGACTTGGTTTATAACAAGCAGATTTGTCTTTACTTGCCTTACAAAATTTGAGTTATTACAACTCCAAAGGAATGTTTGCAGGTGCAGTTCTTAAACTGATAATGAAGTGTTTGTTTCTCAGAACGTAAGTCTGCTTGAGATTTATAACATATGTTCTGATAGGAAGAGGGCAGTGGCCCTCTGTCTGACCACAGTAGTACTGTGACCTGAGAGTTACATCAGGAAACGCCTAGTGCCACTGCCAGCATTAAAAAACTCCTTTAAAAAGGCAATAAACACCAGTAGTATGGATTTTACTGTCAGAAAATTTGCTACACTCATATATATCTAAAGCTAAGAGCTAATGTCACATATTTTGCATAGATTTCAAGGTTGTTCAATGACTCTTTGAAGTCCAGTGATCTGTTTAGCCCGCGGTGATGTGATGTCAGCTATGACTGCATAGCGGTTTGTTGTGCCTCACAAAGGGCACCTGCTTTGGAAATCAGAATCATCCCACTATGATGTATTCTGAAGCATACCAGATTAATGGCAGCTAGGAAAACTACAAACAGGTCGCTCATTTCTCCATCTCTAGCTTTCATTGCTCACTCCCCAAAGATCCAGCTGTGAATTGTGTAAACTCCGAGGAGACACAGTCTGTATCAGTACCGCCTTCATACCATGTTCAGAGCCAGCAGCAGCGTTGTCTATTTATAAACTTTCTTAAGGCTGAAATTGTAAATAAACAATAGAAACCAGAGTGAACACGGCCTAGTGCCTTCACCAAGCACTGCTGTCCTGGCAGTGACTGTGGTTTTCCTCCCTGGATACCATGTCCTCAGGGTGGCAGCTGATTGATCATGACATATTTTTTGCTCTGAGACACACATTTTGCTGTAGCAGAAAAAGGCATCATTCCTGGGCCCAGACAGGTCGTCATCAAAAAAATTAAAGGCCAAGTCCTTGAAGTTTTAAGAGGAAAGCGATGACCTTGAGTAGCTCATTATACCCTCATTCTCCTAGTGTCTAGTTTGGCACTTGGCACATTGGGTTGATTTCATAAATATTTAGAAAGAAGCAGAGGCAGAGAGAAAAAGGAGAAAGTAGAAAAGACAAATACGTCAGAGGAAACAACGTGAGCGTACCATCCCACAGCGGGAAATATGCTGCGCTCTGTTTCAGTCTTTATAGATCACGAGTCCACCTTCCTGCAGTACATTTCATTGTTGGTACTTCATGTCCAAGCTTTCATATTTTGATGCACAATCCCGTTTTCAGTAGATGAGATGTGTGACAGCTGTACTCTAAGGGAAATCACAAAGTAGCAAGGTCTCCCTTCTTTGGTCATCAATGGACACGTGTTGGGACCATTTCACACCGATCCTGAAGTTACTCTCTGGTTACCACGTGATGTGCAAATGCAGAATCTGTGCCTGGATGAGTCAGCACATGCGATTATTTTAAAACCTTATTTAAATGTAAGTCTTTTCTCCTTTCCAATTTTGGTCATTCAGAATGTTACTATTCAAAGAAAAAAATCAAGGCACAACAAATTATCTGAATAATTCATGCCAGAATTACCCAGGCATTTTCCTTCTCTTGAATACTAGTAATTCAGGACAAGGCAATTGAAGGGTTTAGAAGGAATGCATTATTTTTCTATTATGCCAGTAAGTGCCCCAGTTAACATTCAGCTGTAATCATGCTAGATTCTGTCCTGAAGAAACGTGTACTTGTGAGGGAACCCGAGATCCCTGGCATTAAAGCAGAAGGGTCCCATCAAAGTCCAAAACTATACCCTGTCCTCTCTGGTCTACAACCTAAGCTTCCTTTTTAGTGTCTGTTTCCTTTAGTTTTTTTTAATCAAGATAATATAAATACATATAATAGCAACATTGGCATTTAAAAACTGGCTGATCTCAATGCCTAAACCGTTCATTCCTTATTTCTACTTTCTGATCAAATACTTGCTTGGCTTCCAGATACTTTCTGATTATTATTTCTAAATACATGTTTATATAGATTCTCAGTTTCAAATATTCTCTGAACTATTGTCATCCTGCTGCATTTAAAATATCCAAGGGGACATTCCAGATGCTTTGCATATATTTGCTATGTTAATCTTCACAATGGCAGATACTATTATCCAAATTTTGAATATTGAAAACAGACATAAATGGCCATGTATCTTGCCCAAGCTTACACAGGAATGTTACAAATTGTGAAGCCAGGATTTGAATTTGATATTTAATTGGTCTGAAATCAGTTTTTATTCCTAACAGTGAACCAAATTTGTCTACTTCTTCTATTTTAGCATTTAACACTGTCCCTCTCTGTCCATCTGTCCATCTATCTGTCTCTTTCTGTTTCTCTCTCCATCTCTCTCTCCATCTCTCTGTCTCTGTCTCTGTCTCTTCTCTTCCATACACACACCTTACTTTTACCTCTTCTCTCACTGATACATAAAAAGAGCGTGTGTGTTCACATTTGGAGTTAAATCAGTATTCAGTGTTTATTATGTTTTCAGTCTCTATTGTGTTATTAGTACATGTTTGCAGTACACGGGGAGGTGGCACACACATAGAACCGTGGTAATTCTCTCTATCCCCCTTCTCCTGTCCCGCTACCCTCCGTCTGTCAGACCCTTTCCAATGCAAAAGATTGGTTTCCCTGTTTCCTATTATCTTTTATTTTGCTCTTTATATTTTGAGTTTCTCATATAAGAAAAACCATGTGATATTTAAACTTGTGTATGTATCTAGTTTATTTCACTTAACATTGTGGTCTCAGAACAGAAACAGTTCATCTTCTGGAAGATAAAATAGGTGAAACTCTTGAAGACATCAGCATAAGCAAGGATTTTCTGAACAGAACTTTATGTTTTGTATTATGGCTATGTAAATACCAAGACAGATGTATGTGATGTGCAAGATTTTCTTCCTTACAAAACTTCGTATTCCCAAAAAAATAATGATTTTGATCTCAGTGTACAGTTCATTTCTAAACACTTTGCTTAAGACAGACTATCTTCCATTGCTTTCCGACAACTTGGCTGTCTCGTTTTCTCTCCTGCCTCGTGTGTGTTGCCGCCTGGCTTGCATCCTCAAGTCCCTCTCCATTGTCTCAGGAGTCCCCTTATGTCTTTCCTGCAGACCCTGTCTCCTGAACACTGGTCATTGCTTCTAGTTTGCTAACATGCCTTCCCTGAAAACAACTTCAATTCTCTGGATTACTAGGAGTGTTTGGCTGGGTATAGAATGTTACAGAACTTTATAGAAATTATTTTCATTTCTAGAACACACTGCTTCATTATCTTTAGCTTCTATTGTGTCTGCTGCAAAACTCCATTTCGCTCTGACGCTGACCCTTAGAAATTTACGATGTCTCTTTCCCTGCGCTGTGCTGATGGTTGATGCTGCGCTGTGATGTGTTTGTCTTCATCCCTCAGTGTGGGTGTGCAGCAGGCCTTTTCAGTCTTGAGCCCTCCGTGCTTCAGTTCTGGAAAATGTCATACATGATTTGGTTCAGAATATTTCTTTTCTCCAGTTTCTCTGTCTTTCATTCTGGGAACTCCTTTATTCTGATGTTGGACATACAAGCCTTTCTCACTAGTCTTCTCTCTTATCCACACTCTTGCTTTTTCTATTCTACTTTCTAGGGTATTTACTGGTTTACCTTCCAATCCTGTTATTGTTTTCCTTTTTATTTCTGCAGCAATAATGTTAATTTTCAGTGGCACTTTATGATTTTGGTCTTGATTACCTTCTTAATCACAATATATTCAAATCTTATTTTATCTTCCATTTTTCAAAAAAGGCAGTATAATGTACACATGCTTTTTTTCCCACTTAACATTTTGGAGGTCTCTGTTGGTTCATACAGAGAGAGCTGCTGCTTTCTTTACTCCTTGACTGTCGTCTTCTGAAATATGTGGTGTCCTAATTACTCCATCTTGAAGGACAAATCCTTTTGTTGGGCTTTTGACTAAACACCTAGGCTTATTCTTTATCTCCTGTTAAATCACTCCAAATGTCTATCCATCTTCCCACTTAATAGAGTACTATTGTCATCTCGTCTGTTACCGTCTTCTCTCCCATTTGCCTTATTCATGTAGGCTTATCCCCTTTTAAAATGTATTTACTGTCACATTAGTGTTATTTTACAAGCAAAATGATAAGTCTGTATTCATCATGTGTAACTGGAAGTCTTTAGAATAATGTTGTCACCATTTAGTTTTTTTTATTTCTTCCCTTTCCTTCTCTGGCTCATTTACAACTCTGTAAAGTTTCAGTTTCATAGAAATATGAATTATAAATCTCATATACTGATGATGACTAAATATTTATCAGAACACTGCTGGTAACCTACATTGTCTTGATGAGTGTATACCTGAAGTCATTAAGTTGATTTTCTTAAAAACATTTGTTTTGACTCATTTTCCAGGTGTCCAAGGTCAAGGGCCTACATCTGGTGATGACTTTCTTGGCTAAGGCAGCACTCAGCATCACATGATGAGAGACAGGGGCACACGTGTGTGTCCTGTGGTCTCTATAGCTTCCTTTTTTCACTTAGTAGAAAAAATTAAAGCAAAATTTCATAACAAGATAGTAGAATAACAATAGTTAATACATTACATATCATCTTTAAAGTAGTATTGAGAGTAGAAGATACGGGCATAAAACATTATCCAGTCCACATTAGCATAAACCATCCTTTTCTATGAACTAAGAGACAGTAAAAGCCACTTGACCTCAACAGTGAGAGCTCCACCTTGTGGATCTTATCTAGTCCTAATGACCTCCCAAAGCCCCACCTCTGAGCACCATGTTGAGTTAAATTTTCCTCCTCCTAAATTTAGCATAATGGAGATTAAATTTCAACACGTGAACCTAGAGACACTCAAACCATATCGAAGCCAGAACAGTGAGCAACCAGATTTTGAGGGCATAAACTATGCTCCGGACTCTTCTGCATCCAAGTGTGTCCTCCGTGTGTTACCAAGAAATATGCCAAAAGCAGTTTGGGGTTTTTTTGTACAGCAACACGAAGTAAAGTTAGTAGTAGGTGGGCTTATCACCTTCTTGAGATAGCTCCTTTTTAGAAGCTTTAACACTCACAATGGAACCACCATCTTGTGAAAATGAAGACACCTGTCTAGAGGAAAACTCACTGTCAAAAGCAAAACTCTTCCAAGATTCTGAGTCTGACCTCTTTTTCTGTACACTTACTAGGTGTTGAGTATTGAAAACAGCATTATCGTTCCCTAGTTTCTTTTTTCCATAGATTTACCTACTTGGTGGTCTTTTAACATACTGTTTACTGAGATGCACAACCAAAGAAAAAGCATTCTTCAGACTGTTAAGATTCACGTTTATTGGAGAATGAAAATGTCACTGATGATTCCATGTAAATGACACTTTAAAGTTGCCTCCATTTGACCCCCACCCTGTCTGTCTGATAAGCCTCCTTGGCTATGGAGTGTCTCGATTCCACTCAGTATGATTGAGAAATTACTTCTGGAGTAGAACTCAAATGTGTTTAGTAAGTAGGTATTGTTATACGAATGTTGCTTTTATTGTTTAAAGAGTGGTTTATATGAAAAGAAAATAATTTTCCTTTTGGAATGAAGTATTCCTCAGCGTGGTTTGTGTGTTGATGATTTCCATTTTTGGTGAGCTGTTTAGTGACATTGTCTTGTAACTTGACCATGATTTTATCTAATTTTGGCCTGTGGTTTCTCTTCTACTTAGGCATAATGACATCAACAGAAAAATGAAGAAATCCAACATAAAGCACATTGCTGAGCCAGAGTCAAAAGAACTGTTTTTGTAAATCAGTTTTTAATATCCCTTTAATACTGATGCCCTCTGGACACCATTGGACATTACTGGACTGTCTTCTGGGGAAGTAGATTGATGAGAAATATGCCTCACCAGCAGATGGACAGACTGTCAGGATGCCTTAAATTTATAGGATTAGACTAGAAGATACATTTTAGGGTATATTTGTATATATAATTTGTTTTTTTAAAGGTGCTGTTTAAAAGAATGGTTGGGCAAATATATGTTTTTGACATTGGATTGATCCAACCTACTCACAGGACCCTCAAGCCACTGACACAATTTTGTATTCGTTGATTGCATGAGTGATTTGCTAATGTCAGTCAGACTTCCTTGTCTCCCATCACAGACAGCTGTGACTTAGCTCCTCACTGAGACCAGGTTTGTGGTGGTGTTTCTGTTAAGTGTTTTTCTGTCATTTCTACTTTTTTTATAAAGGAAATAAAACAAGGTTAACAGCCACCTATAAGCTTGGGGCCATTCCTTTCTAATAAATCTGTGATATTCTGATTTCTACAGGACTTTGAAGGTATTTTGATAGTTGATATTTGATTTCAAGAACCAAGTGCCCCTTCTGCCTGTTTTCCCATAAGAGTGAAGTAAAACATCCTGTATTTCCTTAAGTACTAAAGATCGTACAAGTGTATAAAGTAAGCCAATCCTCTGCATTCTCAAGTCTCGGCGCTGACCTGGGAAAATACTAATGACAGCTGAGGATTTGGTCCTTAGAGGTCACTTTTTTTCCTGACTCTGACACACTGGGGGGCCTCCCCTTTTGGAGGTGGTGCGGAGCCAGTGTTCATAACAGCCTTATTGTTGATGCAGCTCTTTCAGCCCACATAAGCAGTTCGGTTCCAGCACTTTTCATCTTATCATGTATTTCTGTTGAAACTTCAAGAGTTTTATTTTCAAAGTGTTGGCATGGCCTATGAGAGGCCTGTCAAGTTGGTTTGAAAGGGGGAATTCTCAGCAGTAGGAGGGAGCACTGTAGTCAAATGGGAGCCGTCCTGCTGCCTGGTGCATGACGCAGGCCGAGCGTCTGGATCTGGGTGCAGTCTCACATGTGTGAGCTAACTCCGGCTTGATGAGATGCAGTGAAGTGGTGAAGATCTGAGTGTCTTTCATGGACAGGACACCACTGTGTGGTGATATCACTACTCCTGTTTTACAAATTAGAAACCAAACTTCAGGAAGTTTAGGTCCCATGTCCAACATAATACTAGTAAGCAGCAGGAGTAGGTTTTGGTCCGTGTTTTCTCATCGTCACATCTGTATCATCCTGTACTATGCTATTTCCTCGTCCCTGGGCTACTATACAGGAACCCTGAGTGCAGTTGTACTTCTGGACAACAACTTGGTCTTGTGCAGGGGACATTGTCTCCCTGAGAAATCTGAAAAAGGGCAGTGTTACCTATATACACATCTCGGGGGTAGGTTCCTTCCAACTTACAGAGCTACATGTATATCAACCTCAGCCAGGTTCCTCTGTCCATTTGAGCCCTGCGATTATCAGAGCCTGGTGCTGCGTGTAACTACCTCTGCCTTTCCTGTACTGCCTTAGCCCCAGATGAGCTGCCCTAGCTGATTTGGGGCCCTTAGCCTTATCTGTCTCTTGGTGGTTGACTCACTGTTCACCTCCTTCCTGTCATTTGAGACAGATAGGAAATACATGACGTGCACCTATGAGGTGTAGATCGGCTATGTTTGTGGCCTGGTTCAAATGAGATGATGTGAATCACGCAAGGAGGCCCACAATGGGGTCTGCAAAACAAGGGGACCCCAAGCATACTGCCTTTCTCTGGCCCCAAAGGTCCTAGTTTTGTTCTGAAAGAATGTTTTTTGTTTTGTTTTGTTTTGTTTTTTTAACATCAAGAAATTTTGGCATCCTGTGAAAAGAAATTTTAAGCAAGGCAGAGTAACCAAATAAACATAACAAAGAAAATTTCCAGAGTTTGAAAGAAAAAGGTCATCATTTCTAGAAAACTTTGGCAATTCTACTGGTAACATTTCAGCTCTCACTGTACTAAATATAAAAGAATAAAGAATGCAATAGGTAAAGGAGGAAAGCTGAGCAAATTCGTCAGCCAACTATAAGATGTGGATTCTGTGTTTAATGGTGTTTCTAGGACACTGACAAAGCTGGCCCTTAGGTCACACATTTACATATCTTACTGTCCAAGTTCCCTAGGAAATGGATAGAGTATGATTACTGGGAATTTGTAGATCGTTTCCTTACCACAAACTTACGCACAGTATTTTAAAAATGAAAATGGAAACTGATTTTTCTGTAGAAATCAAGGCATATTTACATGCTAGAGAAAGAGTTTGTTTCCTTTTAGTAAGCAGAGCTTTGGGACCCCCGCCCGACATCCTTCCCACTGGACTAATGAAATGAGCAAAGCTCTTTCTGCATGCCTAATTACATGCCGTGGAATAGGAAACTCGGCACCACTCTGGAAACCAATTATAACATCTGTCAGCATCTTTTAAATATTGGATTCTTTCATGCCTCTAAAGGACTTGTACTGCCAAAGTTTAACACATCAAATTAAAAACATTTTTTAGAAAAGATAACAAGATACTGAACCATACCGCTTTGCTTGGATTGAGTTCCCATGACTTACTCATTAAACCTTACTATCAGGCTTCAGCCCCAACAAGGAAGCTCTGGGTGTGCATCCTGAGGTTGGGAGAGTTCCATAGGACTCTCCGAGGAGATCTTCAAGTAAGATGTTGTGAATATCTTTTCCCAAACATCAAACAACAGGATGATACAGAGTAGGTGAAGCAACTATAAAAAAGAGACTCCTTGATACAAAATGAGTGAATGCTTCTTGTCCATGCCCACCTATATGCTTGATACTAAGTTAGCAAAGTTAAATACATAAGAATGAGGAACTCATCACAACAGAGTTGGTATCATTGCCCCATAAAACATTAGGCTCCCTCTACTACCCAGCCCTTTCATTGATGAACAGGTCTGACATCCTATCCTGTGTTTTCTCTTGTGTTATTTCTCTTTATTCTTCAACTTCAAGCCTTTGATTCCTGCCCCGAATGAGACCGTGTCATGGTTTGTCTGTGTCCTCCAGGCCTCATGAGTTTGCATTGTGCATTTCTGATGGTTCTTGTCTAGTGCTTGGATTGATGATGTCAGTGCTATACCCACATAGGGGTGGAGCCAGGATGTGATGTAATGGCAGGAAGAAGGTGTGTCTTGCTTTTTGCTGGTTAGAGCTTGCTGTTTGCAGCCACCATGAAAGGCAGCCCAGCCATGCCCACCTGCCTGGGAGCCAACTGAGTGTGGACTGAAACCTCCAAAAACTGTAAGAAATAAACCTTTCCTTTCCCAGCTTAGGCATCAGGTATTTTGTCTCAGCAACAAGTAAAAAGTAACTAAGACAGACCGTAAGTTTGCTGATCTCAGAAGAATCTTTACAGGACCTCTCAGAAACGGTGGTTATTAAACATCCAACAATCTCAGCAGTTCCTCCCCGCCTTTTCTTCCCATCTCTTCTCCATTATTTTTACTCTATCCCTCTTTCCCTTTTCTTTCCTTTTTTCTCTTTCTCCCATGTCCCTCCACTCCTTGGGTCTCTCCCCTCCCGCTGTGCTGTCCTCTCCCCTCCATTTTTTTATCCTTCTCTGCCCTGTGTTTACAAGATCTCAGCACTCTACATGTGGGATCTGACTGGAGAAAATTCCAACAAGAAAATCACAGGAACTAGAAATGTGCTGGACCCAAGTTGAGCATGAAAAGTCATCACTCCCTTCATGCCAAGCCCAGTGGAACAAATATCCTTTGATATGCTGATGAAGTCAACAAATTGTGGTTTAGCCTGTACTAAGAATGAGGCTAATTACTCTAATTGAGTTTTTAAAAGACCTGAAAGTTGGTCAAAGTTTTTAAGACCAAAGGAGTTAGATCAAACCTCTGAGGTGCCCTTGAAACTAGGAACCCTGCTGTGACTCAGGCCAGTGAAAGGTAAGTGAAACTCCTAAGAGTGAGCCTTAGGAATTTTTGTAGAGAAAGAATCTTACCAGGTGCGGCATTTTGTCCCTTGTTATGTCACTCTTCTGTCTTTATGGTAGAGAGTACAACCTTTGTAATTATGAATACAAAAGTCTCATGAGAAAACCGGTGAAGGAAAGAACCCGGTTCATTGAGCCCTGTACATGCTCTGAGTTGTGCCCTATATTATTTGTTGAGTAAACTCTGACTCACTAAAATCTGGCATCCAGCTGATGGACTCAAGTTGACAGAATACTAAGGTATAATGAAAATGTACAGTGAATGTTTAAGCTTAAAAAGTTGCAGTAAAAAACACAGTCATAACCCCCCTAAAGTGCTCGCTCTTCCTTCAAGCGCACACATCCACTGTTCTCCCCACTTTCTGAAGGAGTTCTGACGTCTTCTTTCTGAGTGTCTGTCAGATCTGACCCAAAATATGGAGAATGCAACAGCTATTTTGAAGAAAACAAGAGATCATAACAGCTAGTGCTGATTTAATATCATCTTGTTTTGAAGTCCCATCAAGCTTATGTTCTTCTGTCTCCATCGGTTTTATCATGTTGTTTCTTATTGGATTTCATTATATGTGATAGTATAAACAAAATTTTTTATAGACAAGGAGAAAATATAGAAACCATTGTTTGTTTCCTGTTAGTTGGTTCTGAATACTCTGTAATACTTTCATTCTCTGGAATGGTTTTACACTGTCTTTTTATGTTTGATACTATAGTATATGAAGGTATACTCAAATATTTCAAGGAAAGAGACACTATGGTAGCTATTGTTATGTCGGATTGTCTTGTGGTGAAACACTATGTTGCTTAAATTGTTCCATTCTGACCTATGTTGTTATGTTCTCTTTTATCTTAATCTTTTTTTTAAATAAAAAAATATGGAGACTGCTACTGCCAGTTGCCATCCTATGGAAAGACAGGCTTGTGAAAACATTATAGTTCATTTTCTTCTACCTTATTCATAAGATCTGGCACTGTTTAACTTCTGGCTTTTCTCCAAACTCAAAATGACCATGAAGGCAAATATATTCAACTCTCAGGATATGCAGGAAACCATGACAGCACAACTAAAGACACTGATGAAAAGAGGCCTCCAGGACTGCTGCAGAAAGTGGAAAATGATGGGCTAAGTGTGTTCAAAGCAAAGGCAGGTATTTTGAGGGAGATTAATGGCAGTGTTTTAAATATTTTAAAATTTAAACATTTAAACTTTTAAATTCACCATATTTTTTGATCACGCCTTTTGTACATCCAACCATTCCATTGTATTCTATCTACCACTAGGCCAAAGTTCCATTTGGCTTTGCTTTAGAACTCTTTAAGCTTTCTGTCACATGAGAAAAGAACATGAGAAAAACCAGCTTGCAGAAGGAAAGATTTATTTGGCTCATGGTTTCAGGGATTTTAGTCCATGGTTAACTAGTTCCCATGCTTTT